GGTGGCGTAGTCCACCATGTTTGTTATGGCAGTGCTTATGTGGTACACTGACATTAAACCCACTCTGCACAATGCATTACCCCAACAGGTGCATGGCGCACGTCGTCAACCTTGCAGTGCAAGCTGCACTGAAGGTTGACGAGGTGGCCGAGCCACTCAAGAGGCTGCGAGACGTTGCGAACTACATCGGCTGGTCCACACTGCGCACAGATCGTTTCTTCGAGCTCCAGAAGGGATACGCGGCGACCCGGCCCCAGGGTCCTCCGGGTTCTCGGCGACCATCGGGTCCGTTGCGTTTGATCGTGGATTGCTCGACGAGATGGGGTTCTACACTCCAGATGGTGAACAGGGGCTTCGAGCTGCGCATGCCCATTGCCATGTTTTTCGACGATTCAGATGTACGTATGGTAGGATTCACATTCGCTTGTGACTATGGCGATTGGGGGAACGTGGGAATGGCTTGAATATTGCCACCAGCCCATGCATGTCCCATCATCCCATGCATGTGCCATCATCCCATGCATGTGCCATCATCCCATGCATGTGCCATCATCCCATGCATGTGCCATCATCCCATGCATGTGCCATCATCCCATGCATGTGCCATCAACCCATGCATGTGCCACCATCCAATGCATGTGCCATCATCCCATGCATGTGCCACCATCCCATGCATGTGCCATCATCCCATGCATGTGCCATCATCCCATGCATGTGCCACCATCCCATGCATGTGCCATCATCCCATGCATGTGCCACCATCCCATGCATGTGCCATCATCCCATGCATGTGCCACCATCCCATGCATGTGCCATCATCCCATGCATGTGCCATCATCCCATGCATGTGCCACCATCCCATGCATGTGCCATCATCCCATGCATGTGCCATCATCCCATGCATGTGCCATCATCCCATGCATGTGCCATCATCCCATGCATGTGCCATCATCCCATGCATGTGCCACCATCCAATGCATGTGCCATCATGCCATGCATGTGCCACCATCCCATGCATGTGCCATCATCCCATGCATGTGCCATCATCCCATGCATGTGCCACCATCCCATGCATGTGCCATCATCCCATGCATGTGCCACCATCCCATGCATGTGCCACCATCCCATGCATGTGCCATCATCCCATGCATGTGCCATCATCCCATGCATGTGCCACCATCCCATGCATGTGCCACCATCCCATGCTGTGCCTCCATCTTTACAACCCATGTGACCCATACCAGTCATCCATCAGCAAGGAGACTAAGAAGGCGTGGGACGCCATCAAGTTGACGGATGCGCACTGGGACGAGCTCGCCGAGCTCCGAGACTTCCTCACCCCATTCGAGCAAGTCACCCTCTTCGCCGAGGGTTCCCTGTACCCTACCCTCTCAGCCGTTGTACCGTAGTACAACGCGCTGATTGATCTGCAGGAGAAGGCACAGCTCACTCCTGGCATCTCCCCTCTGCGCTCATCGCTGATCACTGCTGCTTTGAGCAAGCTGGAGCGGCACATGGGGGGTGTGAGCGAGGAGGCAGCGATAGCCACTTTCTTGGACCCGCGCCAGAAGCTCGCACCCTTCAAGCACCGAGCCAGGGCGGCAGAGGGGAATTCGAGAGGGGCAACACTGGAGCTAGGACCTGATAGGGTGAAGGCCCTAGTACGGGCGCGCCTTTCAGAGTACCAGGCAGCCAGCACCACGGCGCTGGGAGATGGTGGGGAGGTGACTAGTGCGAGGGGTGCAGGGGTGCATGCATCGGCAGGGGGTGGGGCTGTGGATGCATCGGCAAATGTCAGCATCCAGTCTCAGTTGTTCGCTGCGTGGGACGCCATGGAGGCCAAAGAGGGGGAGGATCCAAAGGATGAGGTGGATCAGTACCTCGCAGAGGGGAGGCAGAGGGGTGGAAGCGCATTGGAGTATTGGCGCAGCAGGGAGACACTGAAGGGCTTGAGGGCGATGGCTAAAGATTATCTAGGGGTACCGGCTTCGTCAGCAGCGAGTGAGCGCGCATTCTCACAGAGCAGGAACATCATTACTTGGCAGCGACACCGACTGGCAGCTCGCCAAGTGCGTGCTTCTATGCTAATTAAGACGTGGCAGGACCACCACCCTTCGGGGACTCTCGCTCCCAAGGGCACCTCAACGGCCAATCCCACCCTGGGAGTGGAGGATGAATCGAGGGGGTTGTGATATTTGTTCGTAATTGATGCTCATGCCCTTAACTTCATCAGATAACGTGATCGGACCAAAACTTGATTGGTTATTATTCCTGTGCGTCGAACTACTAGTTGACTCCGTTAGCTTTTAGGCCTTTGTAGGATTTTTCCAAACACGTGTAACAGTTTACGCAACTTTGAATAGTTCGTTTACATATGGGAGGACATTCATATAATAATAAATTACACAAACATTCAATCTTTGCAACACTGGACAGTACTGAGGAAACCCCTACACACTTCATATGGGGTCCTGGCCCGACCCGACCCGACCCGGCCCCTACCCGACCCGACCCGGGGGCGGGTCACGCCTCACCCGGCACCCGATACCCGGGTCGGGCCAGGATTTTTTTCAATTTCGACCCGACCCGACCCGACCCGACCCGACCCGGAACCCGGTTGGCCCGCCCAAGTCGGGTCGGGTCGGGTCGGGTCGGGCCTAACGATCATGCCTAATTTCGGCTATCCAAGCCAAACACGAACATGTTCGTGTTCGACTTGGGGGCCACGCGAACACCAAAAATGTTCGCGTCAAAAATTGGCCGCGACCAGATTTAGGTCGCGGCCAATTTGTGTTTGAGCTCATTTCGTGAGCTCAAACTCAGAAGTCGTTTTCGCCTTAGCGCTCCCTCACACAGCCGCCCTAGACTCCTTGTTCTAGGTGCAAGCAAGTGCACGCTGAACACTTGAACCCTAAACGGACATTAGATAGATAGATCTATGCATAGGGTTTAACGTAGTGTAGGGAGTTTAGGGTTACTATTAAGGTTCAGCGAGCATCTCCGCTAAGGGCTCAAGTAGGGCGTATCCTTCGCCGTAGGATTCGGATCGGGCATTAGGAACGTGCGGCACCATCCAACGCTAACGTTGCCTTAGGGGGTTTTAGGGTTTAGGGTCGAGGGCGGAGTGATGGCTTCCAGGGCTGGTGGATCCATAGGCCGAGGTGCAGGCAGGGCTCAGGGCAGCGCACCGGGATCTCCACCACGACCTATGCAGGGGCGAGTAGGGGATGGACCGGGTGGAGCCGGCGCGATCTTCGTTGGGGGGTTGCTTACCGTACCAGCGCCGAGCTCTCGTCGCTCTTTCCGTTACGACGGCCCTCGGCCCCCTCCTTCGGGGCAGACGCCGACGCAGCCGGAGAGCGGCAGTGAGGAGGAGGAGGATGAGGAGGAGGATGGTGAGGGCGAGAAGGAGGAGGACACTGAGGGGAACGGGGATGATAGCGAGGCGGCGTGGGACCCAGAGACGCATGGCGGTGGGGAGGGGGGAGATGATGATTATGAAGACCACGAGATGGATGGGTTGGAGCCAGAGGGGCGGGAGGAGGAGGTGGGAGAGGGTGGTGGAAGGGCGGCAACAGAGGCGGGATCACAGCATGTGCGTGAAGGGGGAGGGAGCGTGGGGGTTAAGGTGGGGGGGAGAAAGGCCGTGACCATTAGGGAGCCGAGGCAGAGGAAGAAGGCCAACAAGTTGAGGGAGCGGGCGTATCCTTGCACGTTCACTGGGGAGCCCTTGGGCGAGGGTGTGATTGCTCCCGAGTTCCTAGACGAGGACGGAGGGTCTGAGAGTAGTAAGGGGACTGGCAAGGGTATTAGGAAGCCGGGGTGGCAAGTAATGATGTTCGGACCGATAGGGGCAGACGATAAGCGTCAGTGCAAGATTTGCACAGACAGGATTTCGTGGAACCAATCCACAACAACCCCCGGCGAGCGGCACTTTGCGAGCTTCCACACTGCGCACATGCATGTGTGGCATCACCGTTACCACACCCCGTCCGTTCACTTGCCAGGGGAGACGTTGATGGATGCAACAGAGAATCTCAGATAATGCAACAGAGGCATGAAAGGCAACACGATGGACATCGATGGATAGATGGAGGAGGGCAGAAGAAGGAAGGGAAAAATATTGATCTCGATCAACCTGATCCTGTGAATGTCCTACACCTCATTTGTCTGCAATACCAAAACTTTGTCGCGATACCAAAACTTTGTCGCGAAAGAGCGACGATTTTTTTTTTATGCCCCACAAAAACGTGGGAGTACGGTAGAGTTTGCTCGGATTTGTGTTGTAGTACTGCCTTGTGATTTGTCTATTTTTTAAGCATAGTACACTTTAAAATTTAAGTTCAGGTTTATTTTGAAGCTTTTGCTCTAAACAAAAACACCCTGAGGTTGGTAAGGGTTTCCCAACCTCCTTGATGTATCTCGACAAAACTCTCTAGTCCAATTCTTCAACTTGTCAACCTAACTACCTACTCTATTAGGCTCTTATTGTAGCAGTGGCCATGATATGGCAAAAAAAAGAGTGAGAGCTTACTTTGCATGCTTTCAGCAACAATTCACTAGCCATGGGTGTTTCGGACTAGGGATGAGCAAAGGGCGAACACGAACATGTTCGTTTTCGCCCCTTGTCGAACACCCTCTTTTGCCGAACCGAACACTGTTTGGTTCAGCGAACAGTTTGGGAAAAAACAGGTGTTCGCTGTTCGCCTGTGGAGGCGTGTTCGGGCGAACCTCGAACACTATTCGTGTTCGTCGCGGGCAACTTTCAGCAGCGGCCCGAAAACGAACGTGTTCGGGCGAACATCGAACACTGTTCGGCGAACGATTTGAGCTCAAAAACAAAACTTGTTTGGTTCGCGCCACCTTGCTCATCCCCATTTCGGACCGTATGCTGTTCAGAGTGGTTCGGTTCGAAATGGTTTGGTTCGTTTGACTATGCCCACGAAATTGAGCAGGTTTGACTTGAACCAGCTCAAGTCTGTAGTTGACCACCTACTTACAGTTGCTCCAGTCCCGTAAGGGTGCCGATTTCAGTAGGGATTGAGCCACTGAGCTGATTGGTGTCAAGAAATCTGCGACAATGGACAAAGATGGACACAGGTCAAGAATAGCACCAACGAGAAATGGTGGAGAGGAGGGAAGATATGAGAGCACAGCCAAGTGAAGGCCTTGCAGGGTGACTTAAAGGTATCCCAAGTTTGCAAGGTTGTTGATGTCAGAAAGCATTGAGCCATGTATTCTAATCCTATTTTTTTACTAGCTTACCTACCTGCACATTTACGACTCTCTTAGGGTTGTCTTAACATGCTGTCTGAAGCTACATCCTCAGCAACAAAGGCTATCTCCACAGTGGGCTCCTTCCTCACAGCAGCCATACGAGCCAGGTGCCACATCCAGCACAAGCTCAACCCCGTTTCGTGGCGGAGACCTTGAGCACTGACAGCGTCAAACGCTACCACTTAGGGGTTCGCACGAAAGTTGGAGATATGAGTACTGCAAGGGCCGCATCCCGCCATTCCTGAGCATCCCGCCAACCCTGGGCGCAGAGGAAAGGCTGACGAGCCTGTCAGGACAAGGGCTCGGGAGGCGATTGGTTGAGCGCTGTCCGCCGTGCAATCCCGCGGCGGGTCGTGTTCACTAGGTGGTTCCATTACGACTGAGGAGTGAGCCGAGGACGCCAATAGTCCGACGGGGGGAGGGGCGGGAGATGTAGCCCCACCTCGGCTAGAGCTACGCCAAGGGGGGGACAAGGCAAACGAGCAGCTAGTTTGCTCTAGTTGCGGATCCTATGGGGACGAGGCGCTGGGGGTGATGAATCGTTTGGTGCCAAGAATGACAAGAAATCCGCGGGTGACCCAGCTTTTATCCCCGATAAAGAGGGGAGTTTGACTCCCTCAAATCAAAAGGACGAAGCCAACCCAGCCGTGGGACAAAATCCACTACCCGCACGAAGCTCATCCACAATCCAGGCTTCACCCCAAATATGAAGCGCGACAGGAACCTGAGCCGTACATACGAATCGGGAGACAGATTCCCCAACCAATGAGGAGCAGTCTAGGCCAGTCCCAACCCATCCAATCCTACACCCTGGCGACCATGCCTCCCGCCAATATCTCTTCGACAGCAACTCCACCTAGGACTCGGTCTCGCTTCGCAACAGTCACCAGCCAACCCTTGCCCGACACCCCCACTCGCCCATCGCGAAGCCTTTGTGGCCTGTTTGCTGACACCCTAGCTCTACCTTGTGACCGATCCAACCTCAACCTTGATGGAGGTTACTAATGTTCCTCCCGCGCTTGCTTCTTCCCACCTCGTCAGCCCGCCGCCCTGACTTGCCTTGCAAGCGATGGGGGACAGAATCATTCCCTTCCACCAAGTTTTAGCGGCAAAACTATACTACGAGGAGGTCAGTGCTCTCACATCACCATCGCCATGTTGACACTAGGGATGCCTTGCAGTTGCTGAAGGACTCGCCACACAAGGCAACCTGGGCGAAATTCCTTTACTCCACGCTGCTAGGAGACGTGCAGGCAGCACTGGGTTCCCAACACCTTGCTGCCTCAACACCCCTCTTGGACTGGATTCCCACCCTGTTGCCCAAGATCTCCGCCGCCTTCTGACCAAGTGCCCAGATGGGGTCAGTGCTGGTCCGTTAGGGACCACCTTTGAACATCCCTATGACGCGGTCCTCAGGAACGCGGATGTGTTCCAACATCCACACAGCCCACGCCGGTAAATTGAGCACAGAAGCGGCAGATTTGCTTACCGCCTCACCTAGAATTGTGCGGCGATGAGGCTATACTATCGAATCCACTATCGAATCCACTTTCGACTCAGCCGTCCTACCCACTGTGGCAGGAATATATAGCTCCACCGTGTCAACGGGAGTTGGGTGTTGGCGCCGTCCTCACTTGGGCGGAGCCGACTTCGAGGCCAGGTGTGCGGGAGGTGTAGCCGACCGACTACAGTGGGCGACGCTGACTTGGGGCGAGCAGGTCGACAGGCTTGGTCGAGCTGCACGGGGCCACTGCGAAGCCGCCGACGACGGGAAGCCGGCGGCCGACTTCAACTGTGGTCGATCTGGAGTTGGTCGACTTAAAAAGTGGCCAACTTGGTGAAGTCGACTGGTGGTCGTCGACTTGGGTGGTTGACGAGCGCGTACAGTAGTATGTCAACTTCTACCGAACAAGTTGACGCCGACTTACTGGTTTCCCCGTCGATCAAGTTACCAGGGCAACGAGTTTGTGCGGGGTGCGCGATTGTCGCCAGATGGTTTGCGGCAAAGTCGACCTCGGAGTGGTATCCCAAAGTCGACGTGGCTCATCAGGCACAAACAACGGCATGTGGCCGCCTTGGCACCTGCGCTATGCACGTGACGGTGCGCGTCGCACCAACCGACTACGAGCACCTGCGAAGTAGGTGCACTGCTGTCATTTGCGGGTGTAATGCTGGACAGCCGCCTTGCTGCAGCGTTGGCACGCCGTCGACTTGCAGTGTTGGCGAGCCGTCTTTCTGCAGCGCTGAAGAGGTGCGGACTTTGCAGCGCTGGAACATCGACCTTCTGCGCTGGAAGTCGACCTGCTTGCTTGCTAGGCAGACTTGCTTCTCATGTAGTCAACTTAGCCAACGTTATTGCAACCACTGTGTAATTCTTTTGCTAGAGAAACACGCAAGGGACGTTGCGATCACTCACACAACCGTGCCTTACCCCGTAGTCTAGCTCCCGTTGTAGAGTTGCTCTCCGCACACCGTGCTTTCCTGTTCTTGCTCCTAAGATGCGCCTCTTGTTCTTCCACCAGGTGCTCCGGTTGCCGTGCCTCCAATTGTTGGTACCCAGTCGGCACCCGCCCTTCCTTTAACTCTGGTCGTGGCTGTGCAAGTGCCGGTGGTAACCATAGAAATGACAGATTTTGCGCTTGTACAAGAGTAGAGCACACCGCGGGCGAACTTCGCAGTATAGGCGACCTCGGGGTTCCGCACTCCCCGGCGGCTCATGGTGGCTGGACTTTGCTCTTGGGTTCGTCTTGCGCTTGAGACACTTGGGGAGTTGTGGCTTCTCTCCATAAGCTGCCATTGACTAAAGTTGGTCCCAAAACATGGGAAGCGCCAGAAGTGTCGAAGGTGGCTGGTAGGGCTCGAAAAGCAGGTAGGGCACGTTGCGGGCGCGCCAGTGCCGGGTGGGGCTGTCCAGCATCTACCCCTGCTCGCTGGCTTGGGACTGTTGCAGATTCAGTCCATAAGTCAATGCTGTTGACGTCAGCGTATAACTGGCTCATTAGTCGTGGAAGGCCATGGCAGGCATGCTTGTCGCGCCATGGTGTAGTCGTGGTCTGCCGCGTGCATTGTTGCCCCATCTTGTGTGCTAGACCTCTTGCATTGGTGTTGATGCCATCTAGGGATGAGCAAAATCCCGAACGCCTGTTCGGTTCGCCTCGAACATGTTCGAAGCAAACCGAACAGGCATTTTTTTTTGCCTAAATGGTTCGGGCCGAACATGTTCGGTGTTCGACCGAACATGTTCGACGTCCGCCCCAGGATTTCGGCTATCCAAGCCAAACACGAACATGTTCGTGTTCGACTTGGGGCCACGCGAACACCAAAAATGTTCGCGTCAAAAATTGGCCGCGACCAGATTTAGGTCGCGGCCAATTTGTGTTTGAGCTCATTTCGTGAGCTCAAACTCAGAAGTCGTTTTCGCCTTAGCGCTCCCTCACACAGCCGCCCTAGACTCCTTGTTCTAGGTGCAAGCAAGTGCACGCTGAACACTTGAACCCTAAACGGACATTAGATAGATAGATCTATGCATAGGGTTTAACGTAGTGTAGGGAGTTTAGGGTTACTATTAAGGTTCAGCGAGCATCTCCGCAAAGGGCTCAAGTAGGGCGTATCCTTCGCCGTAGGATTCGGATCGGGCATTAGGAACGTGCGGCACCATCCAACGCTACCGTTGCAGGAAGGGTATTTTAGGGTTTAGGGTCGAGGGCGGAGTTATGGCTTCCAGGGCTGGTGGATCCATAGGCCGAGGTGCAGGCAGGGCTCAGGGCAGCGCACCGGGATCCCCACCACGACCTATGCAGGGGCGAGTAGGGGATGGACCGGGAGGAGCCGGCGCGATCTTCGTTGGGGGGTTGCTTACTGTACCGGCGCCGACCTCTCGTCGCTCTTTCCGTTACGATGGCCCTCGACCCCTTCTTTCGGGGCAGACGCCGACGCAGCCGGAGAGCGGCAGTGAGGAGGAGGATGAGGAGGAGGATGGTGAGGGCGAGAAGGAGGAGGACACTGAGGGGAGCGGGGATGATAGCGAGGCGGCGTGGGACCCAGAGACGCATGGCGGTGGGGAGGGGGGAGATGATGATGATGAAGACCACGAGATGGATGGGTTGGAGCCAGAGGGGCGGGAGGAGGAGGTGGGAGAGGGTGGTGGAAGGGCGGCAACAGAGGCGGGATCACAGCATGTGCGTGAAGGGGGAGGGAGCGTGGGGGTTAAGGTGGGGGGGAGAAAGGCCGTGACCATTAGGGAGCCGAGGCAGAGGAAGAAGGCCAACAAGTTGAGGGAGCGGGCGTATCCCTGCACGTTCACTGGGGAGCCCTTGGGCGAGGGTGTGATTGCTCCCGAGTTCCTAGACGAGGACGGAGGGTCTGAGAGTAGTAAGGGGACTGGCAAGGGTAATAGGAAGCCGGGGTGGCAAGTAATGATGTTCGGATCGTTAGGGGCAGACGATAAGCGTCAGTGCAAGATTTGCACAGACAGGATTTCGTGGAACCAATCCACAACAACCCCCGGCGAGCGGCACTTTGCGAGCTTCCACACTGCGCACATGCATGTGTGGCATCACCGTTACCACACCCCGTCCGTTCACTTGCCAGGGGAGACGTTTCCACGTGGGGGCTACAAGGGAGTGCAGGATGGCTACGTCTATCAGTGGCCACATGCCAAGACTTGGCCGCAGCTCGCCAAGGGGAAAGGGATGGCGACTGGTGGAGGTCATGGGTCAGGCGGAATGGAGCGGTGGATGACAACCAAACTGACCTCGGCGTAGCTACGGCAGGCGATCACGAAGCTGGTGGTCACCTGCGACCTCCCCTTCCGCATCGTCGAGGCCGAGGCTGTAAGTGCCCCATCCCATCCCATGCATGATTGGGCAAGTATGTGGTTAGTGGACGGGTCTGTCCCTTTGTGTGTTGACTGTTTGCGTGTGGCCCAGTGCAATGCTATATTATTTTCATCCCATCCCCCTGACGTTTACTCCCCTCTCCCCCCTTGTCTCTACCCCTCTCCAGTTTCGTGAGCTACTCATCCTGCTAAACCGCAACTGCGCGCAGAAGAACTTCATCCCCTCGCGCTGGACGGTTTCCCGCGATACAGTGGTCTATGCGGCTGCCGCTCTTCAGTCAGCCATTGCGGAGATGCTGGCGAAGGAGGGGGAGCTGGGGTGCAGGGTGTCGTTCACCATCATCGACATGTGGACGTCGCCCAACAACAGGGCGTGGCTAGTGGTAACAGGTCACTTGATCGACGAGAATTACCAGCTGCGCACACTGGTGTTTGAATTCCGCAAGATTCTCGGGCGTCACACGGGCAAGCAGATGGCGAGGGTGGTTGAGGAGACTGTGGTGCAGTGGGGGTTGGAGACGCGTTGTTTTGGGTTCACCTCAGACATCGCCTCCAGCAACACTGCCGCTTCCAGGTGGATGTCGGAGGAGGATGGTGGCCAGTGCTTCTTCAACTCGCGCATGCACTTTCGGTACAAAAGGGTGTGTGCGTGGGCTGTGCGATGAGGGAGTCTGGGTGCGTCGTTCCTGTGATGTGAACATGTTGTGGTTGTAGTACAGGCGAGTGGGCCTATGCGGCTTGAGAGTGGTAGTGTTTCTCGGATCTATGGCAATGTGTACTCACACTTCCCTTTCTCTCCGCCATGAATGTTTTGTGATGTGCGCAGATGCCTGGCACACGTGATCAACCTTGCAGTGAAGGCAGCACTCGCTGTGGCCGCCATCCGCAAGTTGCTGAAGATTCTGAGAGAGATGGCGTCGTGGATAGGCTCGCCGCAGCGCTCAGGGAAGTTCTTGGGCCTTCAGCGGACCCTGAACGCGCAGGGCAACCCCGCCAATCCGAAGCCGGCATTGAAGCTGGTGCAGGACAGTCCCACACGCTGGGGGTCGACCCACAACATGGTCGAGCGAGCCGGGGTTCTGCAAGAACCCATCTCTGTCTTCTTTGCCCAGACGCAGGTGTGTGTGTGTGGCACACACTGTGTGCCAGGTGTTGTGTATGCGGTATTATGTATTGGTATGTCGGTCGGGGTGTTTTCTTCTGAGACTTGCACCACTGTTGGTCATGCTTGACTAAACTTTTCGGACCTCCAACAACCTCAACCACCCAACTTTCCATCCTAACACCCGCCCACCCATACGTTCTACCCGACAGGGCGTGTCGAAGGCTGACAAGGTGAAGATGGACACCTTGCGCCTGACGAACGCAGACTGGGAGACTCTGCATTCTGTCAAGACCTTCCTCAGCCCATTCGCCAAAGTCTCCAAGGCCGCAGAGGGAGCGGCGTACCCCACAGTGGCGATGGTCCTCCCGTACTACAACGGCCTGATCGACGTTATGGAGTCGCGCCTTGCCAAGGGGCCATCAGCTACGCTGAAGCTGATGATTGAGGCGGCGCTGGGTCTCTTGAAGTATGAATTGATGTCAAGCAATGAGTTGTGGATCGCCACCTTCCTGGACCCTCCCATGAAGGCGACGTGGTTCGACGACGCGCACTGGGAGACGCTGCATCCCGATACCGACCGGAGGGCGAGGCCTCGTCCCTCGTCAGGCAAGGTGATCCAGCTGGTTCGCGAACGCGTGGCCGAGTACCAGGCCCGGGCTGCAGCGATTACCCCTCAGCCGACCCCACTTGCCCCAGTGACGGAGGAGGGAGACGCGGCGGCTGACGACGAAGACACCGAATTTCTCCCTAGTCGCCGACGCCTTGCGGCGCGTCTGTCGGCGAGCCAGGAGGCGGGGAGGGGTGGGATGGTGCAGGATGACGAGGTTGGCAGGTACTTATCAGAGAGGGTGCGGTGCGACGTGTCAGCGTTGGAGTATTGGCGCAGCGCCACCAACATGCAGACGCTGAGGCGCATGGCCCGGGATTATCTTGCCATCCCTGCCACGTCCGCGTCGAGCAAGCGCGTGTTCTCCCTCGGCCGCAACTTCATATCCTGGAAGCGGCACCGCCTAGCCTCTCAGAGGACGCGAGCTTCCATGATTCTCAGAACATGGTACACCTCACACCCTGGACAGAGGATAGGCGAGGGCCGCCGTGCAAAAGGCGAGGCACCACCAGAGTTCGCCATTGAAGGCGAGGGGGAGGAGGAGGACGACGAGTGGGAGGAGGTGGGGGAGGAGGAGCAGGTGGGGGTGGGTGCTGGCGACACCTCTGACGCGGAGCATGCTGTTGTTGGTAGTAGCAGTGGTGTGCAGGCGTAGGATTTAATTTGGCAGTGACTTTTAAATAGGCAAAACATGATGGTGTCGTATGCTAGTGTGCGTTGCATGAACACATATACACCCTCCACCCCCCTATCTATCTTCCCAACCCTCCAGATTCCGTGTTTGACCAATGTGACTATAATGAAAGTGCCCACGGGCGAACTCGAACATGTTCGAGTTCGCCCACACATACCAAATGTTCGCCCCCAAGGGCGAATGGCGAACACCTCCTGAACCCTAAATTGTTCGCCGGACCGAACCGTGTTCGGTTCGGAAAATGTTGATGTTCGAGCGAACTCAAACCCAAACGTGTTCGAGTTCGCCCTTTGCTCATCCCTAATGCCATCATGCCATGTCTTATGGTTGCTCTTCCCGTGTGTGCACCGAAGGCGGTCGCACCTGCGGAAGTAATGAGCTCAATCTCTTCGCACTGCTCCACTCACAGCATTCGCAATGACTGCACTTTGAAGTACATTTCTCTCTTCTCGCACCCCTCTTTCACGAGTTCGCATCTGAGACCTTCTCTCCAAACCAGAGATGAGCATTTGCCCCGCTCGGGTCGGGCCGGCCCGACCCGACCCGTGGTTTAGCCCGGGTCGGGTCAGCGGTTTCAATAGCCTGCCCCGTGCGGGCCGACCCGACCCGACCCGGGCTAAAACCTGACCCGAGCATGGAACTCGGGCCGAGGCGGGTCGGGTTTCGGGTCAGCTTTGACCCGACCCGAAATCGGGTCAGGATTTGGGAGATCGGGTCGGGTCTGACACAGGGGGGACCCGAAACCCTAACACATTCGATGTCAAGGGGAATTCTTTCCCCTCCACATCAATTCATTACCGCGAACGTAATATCCTTCCTCCAGCAACCAAAGGCACCTAGGAACCATAACTACTTAATTTGCAGCCAAAGAATGATGCGACTTTGTGGAGAGGCTCAGGGTGGGGGGGGTAGATTTAGTGCGGTAAGTAGTGGTGAGCAGTGGCGAATTGGTTGGAAATATTTGTTCCAACACATTCGTCGGAAACAAGTGCCATGGCGAAACTCCCAATCCAGATCGACCAGCGAAGTTGACGATTTGCAGAGTTACGCCAACGAACTCACGGATCTGCGCAGATCGGCGGGCGAAAGCGCCGATCTGCGCAGATCGGCGGGCGAAAGCGCCGATCTGCACAGAGCGCGGGCGAAATCGGGTTTCCTGACCCGACCCGACCCGGCCCGAGCCGAAGTCGGGTCAGGGTCGGCCCGGCCCTGTACCCCCGGGTCGGGTCAGGGTATTCAACATCCTTGCCCGAGGCTGGCCCGACCCGACCCGGCCCGGGAACCCGCTCGGCCCGGCCAAGTCGGGTCGGGCTGGGTCGGGCCGGGCCAAATGCTCATCTCTACTCCAAACCTCCACAGGCCCAATGCATTCGGGCCTTAGAGAACGTACAGAATAGAGACCTTGCGAAGGCTGCTGATGGAGTTCGGAATGGACCCGATTAGGTTAAACATAGATAGTCGCCTGCACGAGCACCCAAGGCACCCACAGCACGTGCAACCAAGCATGTCAATGAATGGTTTCTTGGAGAATAAAAACGAGTGATACGGCTAATGTAGCCCTTGTACACAACAAGGTGGTCACTGCATGCACACGGGCAACCCCCTTGAACGAGCACATCGCAGTCAGAGAAGATATTAAATCTCACATCTCCAATATCATTCCGCTGCTGTCGCATGTGATACCCTCTGCACTGCTGCAGTCCGGATTGGAGCCCCCCCAACCAGGCAACGTCTGACCCCATGCCGTCTGGCAGTCCTGCAGGAATTGCACTGCGGGTTGGTGGAGTGGAGGTGGGGGAGGGAATGGGGAGAGGGGAGGAGAAGCGGTGTTGAAGGGTGGCGAGGAAAGAGGAGTAGCAAGGAATGTGTGTCTTGGTGGAAAGGGGGGGGGGGGGGGAGGGGGGGACTGGCTTGAGGAGTGCAAGCACATCCCATCAGAAACATACAGGCACGGCAAATACATAACCAAACCACTTTCGCCACCACTTGTCACAATGCCGCAACAGCCAATCATGTCCCAGAGTCACCACCCAATGAGAAGCACTAATGATGTTGGTTGTGCGGAAGTTGGAGTTTACGCCCGAGGGTGGCTCTTCTATACATGTGTTTGGATGATACGTCTGGCCCATGAAAATCATACGCTAAGCATATACCAAGTCACGGTCTTCCTTGAAACAGGTATGTTACTATCCAAATGATGTTCCTGAACATCTAGCGGAGGAATAGTAGGCCGCTTAAAGGTATGTCTTAAGCATTTAGGGGCAGATGTAGTATGTTGGTTCAAGTCGTCGTGCTCGCCGGTTGCTGATCCGCACTGATCATAATTCTCTCACCTTGCGAGAGGAGCGCTTATAGCACATCCCAGCAGAAACATACGGGCACGGCAAATTTGATACCAAATCACGTTCGCCACCACTTGTCACAAAACCACAAAGTCCCAAAGTCGGCACCAAACGCAGGTCTCGACTCGGTGCTCTGCATATTACCTTAAGCCAATGAGAAGCACTATGTTGATTGTGCGGAAGTTGGAGTTTACGCCGGAGGGTGGCTCTTACATGTGTTTGGATGATACGTCTGACCCATGCAAATCATACGCTAGTAAGCATTTACCAAGTCACGTTTTCCTTGAAATAAGGTATGTTCACTATCCGACAAGTGTCTCCAATGATGTCTCCAATGATGGTAATCGTGCGGAGGAATGGTTAGGCCGCTTTTCTGAAAACCTTTCAAACGTACGTCGTAAGCATTTAGGGACACTCTTTGAGATTTATGTTGGTTCAAGTCGTCGTGCTCGCCGGTTGCTGATCCGCACTGACCATGTCTCACCTTGCGACGCCTGAAGCGGCTGGGCGTTGACCAGGGCGACGGGCGTGGCAAGTTGAAGGACGGCGAGGCACCATGCGAGTGCCAGCGCGCGCTGCACCCATCGCTCTACTAGCGCCATAATGTCTTCGCGGCTTACTGCCGCCGACGCGTTGGCCAACCGAGGGTGGAGAGAGTTGCACTGCGCCGCTCAGTATGGTCTGAACTCGGCCCACGCCCCAGCGCCTCCAACCTCGTGACTGCTGACGCTCACACTGCTTGCGACTGCTCACGGCGTTGCTACGGGTGATGAACTCAGAAACAAGATTGAGCCGAGTTTGCGACGGATATTTAATAAAAAAATGGCTGATCACGCGGCACCGCAACACCGTCAGCAAGGTGGACTAGGAAGGGCTAGGGCAACAATGCTGCCAGCGGTCTAGTGAAATGAGAAAAACAGGTTTGATGTGGCAGTTGCGCGGGGAGTAATCTCGCAGGGGTCACACTGCTCAGTGGGTGGGCTCGTGTGGAGCAGCTGTTCTGCGACGAAAAGGTTGGCAGGCCTTCGCCAGAGATTCCTATCGACATGTACTCACCACATGTACCAATGTGTGGACCGCAGAGAATTATGCCACATGGCGTAGACTACAGCTGTTCCCAAACAGATGACCTCAGCACAACTTCTGTCCAGGAATCCTAGAAAACAATACTAGAGGGGAGACCGAACTTTGGAAGCGAACTTCTGACCGAACTTCAGTCCCACCCAGGGCTCAGGCTATCAGGGTAAATGCTCGTTCTTGACTGAAAATCCAAGGTATTATCAAGCTGAACTCGGATTTTTACAGGGGATTTTGGCTGCCAGCCCTGACAAAATCCGAGTACTTCCAGGACAGACTCTGATGATCCGAGTACTCCCTCGAGGACTCGGAACCTTTTCTAAGGCTCTAACCACCCTCAACTCGCCCCCCTTCCCAACACAGCATAGTATAGCTCAGCCGACGAAAACTGCCGCCCATTTTCGCGGTTCAGAACGGACAACCTCCCTCCTCGGGGTCGACGACCCCACGACGACCTCCGCGTGGAAAGCCCAGGCTATCTGGCTGGGCCAGGTGCTGGTGAGCCCTCGGGATGGTCGACCACCTGTCGACCTAGAGTTCCGCTGAGACAATCCCGAGAAGGACGTCTCAGCCGCGTGTCAGAATACCAGCTCGGCAAGTCGGGCCGCGATGATCGCCACGCGGCCACAAAGGGACGCCCGAGATAGTCCCCTGGATGGCGGGGCCACCTAGGTCTGCCAGGTTGGACACGACGGGCCAACGGAAGGTCGGGGTGCTTCGCTTGGGAGAATCTCGCGCATGAACGTGGCAATGTCGGTGCATACCACACGGCATTCATCCAACGGTTGCTCACATGCGCAAGGAGAAATCCGGCCATCCACTATCTATGGCTACGTGCAGTGGACACTGATGATGCGGGACCTGTCGGCGTCGACCAGAAGAGCATCATCGTGGTGCCACACGGCAGTGTCTCCCGACCTCGACCTACCGAGGTGCACCTAATTCGGGACCACGCCACGTTGCCGCACGAAAGAGCCAGCGTGTAGCAGCCACGAAAAGAGCATGATGAGCGAAGCGCTTCAAGCAAGCAGCCATGCACGCCTGGTGGCACGTCGGACACGGCGCCGCCGCACGAGCGTACATGCATGGCGGCGTCGTGCACTGGGGTTTGCGTGGAGCGCCAAGTGGTGCGGAGTCGCTCACGACCATCCCCATCCGTGGTCCCCGAAATGGTCGCTCATTCCGCCTGCCATTGTGTGTGCCATTGCTTTTTTTTTTTACCACTGACTTGACGGCCGGCACTTTGATTTTCTCTAGAGGCGTAACGTCGGCGTCGTGATAGTAGGCAGACGTGGTCGCCGACCTCTCGTAGGATTGTCTGCTGTCCCGACCTGCCAGATACCGCCGACATAGAATACGCATTAAGTAGTTTATCGACCTCACCACGCCGACTTCCTATCGCCCTAGGTCGCGGTATCATGGCCAGAGGACAGCCTCGTTCGACACCGCCGCAAACCAACCCACCCCCCGCCGATGTCGACATGACGGACGTCATGAACCCCGCTAGCCAGGATGAGGACGTCCGCCCGGTAGACCGTACACCGACCAGTAACCCCTCGTCGACTTTGCCGCTGCTTTACGATCTCGACGCCCTGGCCCAAATCCCGCAGGGAGAGTTCACCAAGGACGTTCCGCCCGCGCCGATAGGGGAGTTCACGAAACCACGCAAAACGTCGACGCCGACGGATGCAGGGGAGGCCGGGCCGTCGTCTGTGCCGGACGGATCGGGCGACCAGGATGAGGACGATTATTCATCGGCGAGCGACGAGGACGACGAAGACGACCCGCGGCCCCGACGTGGTGCAGGTCCGCGCACGTTGGAAGAAAAACTCAGGGGGGAACGTGCATTCATAGAGGAACTGTTGGACGAGAACGAGCTTGAGGATCTGCTGCACACGTCGGTCCCTCGAGAAATGTGGAAGGCGGCCGACTTCGTAGAGGAAGATATGGTGTACGCGTGCGTCGACGTGCTCGTGATGGAGGGAATGCGCCACCTGAAAACCATAGAGGCCAAGAGCACGCTCAAGTCCTACACCTCATGGATATACGACTACAAAAGGTGGACGGCGAAGATGCTTAAAAAAATTGGCGACAAACTGCCGACAGCAGAACAAATGAGGCACGTCGACGAGATAGGGCACTGGACACACAACAACAAGAGCAAGGATTGGGACAACGAGAAGGTGGTCAAGCGGAAGCACATATGGCTGCACGGCCCCTGGGTCACTAGTACGCGACTGCGCGCCTACATCAAGTTCATGAGGCGGGAGTACAAGATCGACGCCGACACGAACGAGCTAGTGCGAGCCTACACGGTGCACATGATCCTCGGCCGCATCAAGGCCTGCCAGATGGCGGCGAGGGTGGAGGCGACGCTCTTCAAGGAGAAGGAGTTGGGCATCATGCGGGAAATCTCGGTGGTCCGGTCGGAGGTGCGGGTCATGGTCCGCACGAAAAATCAGAGGGACCTCGAGTAAGTTGGCATGCATCGCCGTGTTATGTCGCCATCGATTTGTTTCCTCGCCCTAATATTCATATTCATATATTGTTATGTCGACAGTAAATGCGCCGACCGTCGACGCGGCACCATCGGCGACACATACACCGCCGAACAGTTCCGCCAGATAATGACGAGGGTGCTGCCGGCTTGGGCGGCGTCGGCATGGAGCCCGCATTTCACCACACCTTCGCAGACGCTGTGGAGGTTTCTTCTCATCAAGGTGCTCACGCTGCTCTCCCACCACAGCCTCATGCGCGGTGCAAGCATACGCGAGATAACGCTCCCCGACATCTTCCTGTACCGGCTGGCGAGCACCTCGTCGGTGAACCCGGATAACCAGCCGGTCGTCATGGTGGTCGCCGCGCGGAACTCGAAGACGTCGAAGGATGCGCGTCTTCAACAGAGCTACGCGGCGCGGCACCTAGAAGCGGAGTTGTGCGCCGTCGGCGAGACCGGGCTGTGGTTACACTTCGTCCTCGACCAGATCGGCTAGTTTCACGGAGTAACCCTCATTCCGCCGGTCGACACCAGCACACGCGAGCTCTGGTACAAGAAGCACCTGTTCTTCGCCCGCAACGACCCCGAGCAGGGCGAACTCTCAGCTCCCAGCCACCAGCGATGGACGAGGCCGATGTGGAAGACGAACGGGGTGTTCTGCAAGCGGAACGTCCATGCCGCTCGGGCGGGCGGGGCGCAGGAGTTGGCCATCCAAGGTACGCCTCGCGCCGAGATAGCCGAGCTGGGTCGCTGGGCTCTCGACAAGATGACTCGAGCCTACATCACGTCCATTCCCGTCGGCGTGGTGATGAAGAAGGCCGGCTATTCGGGATTCACGCAGGACTACTTCTTGGGTCGCAGTAGGGTGGAACCGGGAGACGAACTCCTCGCTCTCATCGCCGAGCACATCTTCCTCGACGTCGACGACCTCCTCAACAAGGTTTGTTTATCGGTGCCGACCAATCTTGCATGGTACTGTCCTATCCACCATGGAGATAACCCCCGTCTGATGTCTAACTGCAGGCAGAAGAACTCGCGAAGAAGGGGTCCGACGCCGACGTTGCGGCCGTGCATTTCTGGCGCACCCTTCTGATGTTCCGCCGCATTGTCGCCGAGGACCTCGCGGTGAAACTCGTCCGCACCCCTTGGCACCCGTACATCCAGTATTCCAAGCTCTGCCGGATTCCCCTCTTCCAGCACTGGGCGAAGAGGGTCGAGAATACCGACACCGACACCATAAAAAAGCGGCAAGATCCAACCCTCATCCAGCCAGAGGTAGGTCATCTTTTATGCCGACGTCGCGATGTTATCTATGACCGCTACAACCCCTCATCTGCACCGTTATTCGCATACCATTGCAGGAGATATCGGTCCGCCATGACGCCCAGTTCGCGGTCGTCTCCCTCACGGAGACGCTTAAGCTCGAGAGGGAGCGGTCAACGGTCCAGAAGCTCGACCTCGAGGAGAAGATCGAGAATCGCGACGCAACCATCGCGTCGCTCGCGGCCGAGATAACACGCCTCACAGAGGCTCTCCGCGTTTCAGAAGCTCGAAGGATGCCGGAGGCGCCGCCAGCTGCTAACGACCAGTCGCCGAGCAACGGTGGCTCCGCGGAGTCGGCAAGCAGGGGTGGAGGAGCCAACAAACCCAATAAACCCCCACAGACGGTCGAGGAGGCTACCTACGAGCTGAACGTAGTGCAGCCTTGGCGGACTGCAACGACCGTCAAGGACGCGTGGCGCCTCTGGACCTCGTGCACCAGCGCCGACACCCGTCGTCTGTGCGACAGGTTCAGGGAGCCGGGATTCGTCGACCGCCACACCCTCCTCGACGGAGCCTCGCAGGGAGCACACGGGAAGAGGGTGCGCCGCATGATGAAGGTCATCGATGCGGTGCGCCAGCTTCGCAGGAGCGACGGCGAAGCCGACACGGAAGCCACCGTCGACGCGCTTAACAAGATAGCGGCGCCTGGCATTGGGACCTTCGCGAATGCCCTCACGGTGCTCAACGCGGACGCCGTAGCGACCTATGGTGGGCAGGGTAAGGGCGTCAAAGGGCTCGGCAAGACGGAATTTTCCAAGCTTCGTGTCGCCTGTGCGTTCGTGGCGCGCGGGCTCAAGCCCGAAACGTGGGTCGCCGACCTGTTCCCGGACACCTGGGTTGAGCAGATGAAGAAGACGTTGGCCGACCTGGCCCGCGAAAACAACGCCGGGCAGCTGCCTCCGACCAATAAGTCGACCAAGCGCAAAAAAACCGCTTGAATGTTCCCAGGCCTCCTGCTACTGTGGCCTGTTGCAGGTTGTAGATGTTGATGCAGCATGCCTATGTTTCAACCTGATACTGATGTCGACTTTTTGTTTCTCTCAATGATCCTGTTGTTCTCGGCCTAGCGGGGCATTCACGTGTCGTTCAAACTGAAGTAGACAATCATTAGTAGCTAATGTGTTCATTACTCATCCTACGTAAAGTAGACAGGTACACACAAAAAAAAACACAAACAAAGAGCATCAAAGGGATCCGACAACCAAAACAAGGAAAACGGTATCGACCATTTCATCATCGAGTCCACGCAGCACTCAATCTTAGCATGCCGTCGACTAGGCCGTCGTGCTGTCCTTCTTCGACTTCTTGACCTTCTCCGTGCCGCCCTTGGTCTTCGTCCCCTTCTTGCCCCTCAGACCCTTCATCCCCCTGTTGTCAAGATCGGCCTTCATCTGCGCGTCAATCGGCACCGCGATGTCCCTCGCTCTTAGTTTCGGCCCGGCGACGGGGCACATTCCCCAAAACGCCATCGTCTCAACCGTCGCTCTAGCGATAACGTCGGCATCTACTCCAGCATTCCCCCCCGGATATACCGTATCAAGGGCGGTCCTCTGGAGTGCTGGCGCGACGTTGTAGGCAACCTCTCCCAAGGGGCGGTCCCTGTTCATCTCGGCTTTCAGCACCGCCTCCATGACTTTTCCGAATACATCGGCGGTCGCCTGGCTCGCTCCGCCGATGATCGCCGCCGACTTCCCTTCTTCCACAGCATCCGCCAGCTGGGCATCGCCGTTCTCGACGAAGCACCACACAGCGCATGCGGATGCTGCTAACGCCCATGCCGCCATATCCGTCTTCTCCTCCTTGTCTCCCTCCTTCTTCGCCGCTGCCGCAGCGGTCTTCCCATATGCAGCGCACATTGACACGCGGCCTATCATCGCCGACATCATGGACGCCGACTTCTCCCGGCCTTCCTCGGTGCTAGCATCGACTGGGTACCATATCGCTGGCAGGAGCGCGGCGTGGAGACAATCGCCTGTGGACTTGTAATGGCGATACGCGTCGAGGATCTCCGTCAGCCTGTCACGCCACCACAAACAGGGCGAACATGAGTGACAACGGCAACGACATCGACTTTGAATCGGAGGATTGCCGACTTACCGTGTCTTTGGAAGGAGCGTACCCCGGGCCCACATCACCGTCCACATCCCTGTCGGCAAGATCCTGACCTCCTCCCACACCTCCTTCCACCTCTCCAATTTGGCGCTGTCCAAGCCGGTGAGCTCGGTCATGAGCACCTTGCTCACGAAACCGTCGTAGACGACGTACGCGATGGAGTGAACGTACGCGAGCTCCATCTTGTCCCGCGACTTGCCAATGTATCGATTGATGCCGTGCACCTTAATCTCGCCGACCCACCCTTGCTTGTCGCCCGAGGTATCGTGTCGGATGCCATGACCCCTCCTCTCCTTGCCCTTCCCCTCCTCCTCCTCCTCCTCCTCCTCCTCCTCCTCCTCCTCCTCCTCCTCTTCCTCCTCCTCCTCCTCCTCTTCCTCCTGCTCGACCTCCTCCACCTCCTCGACATCCTCATCCTCCTCCTCCGCCTTCCTCTTTCCCTTTCTCCCCTTCGAGTAACCCTCGCCGACTGCCTTCTCCTTCCCCTTTCTCCCGGTCGACGCACCTTCTCCGACCGACTTGTCCTTCCCCTTCCTCCCCGTCGACGTACCCTCGCCGGGCGACTTCTGATTCTCCCCTTTCCCTTCAACCTCCCCAATGCCGCCTCGATCTTTGTCCGCCGCCATCTCCGCCGCCATCCCCTTCTGTTTATCCGCCGCCTTCACCTCCGACTTCTCCCGCGTCTTCCTCTGTGAGCCCGCCTTCCCCTTCCGTTTCGACTTTCCCTCACCGACCGCATCACCGGTCGCACTAGGCTCTGCCGCGATGCCGACGAGTCCCGCCGAAGGCTCCACATGTTCCGTGTCGGAGATGGCCAGGGTTCGGGGATTGGCTGCATCCAGATGGGCCTGTATGGCAGCGATATCAGCGTCTGCGGGGACCTCCTCAACGGCGCCGCCGCCGGTGGCAAGCGCGGCACGAACGCCCTTCTCCGCCGCCTTCTCCACATCAGCTGCCACATGGGTGGGTGGTGCGACATTCGCCGACGACGGCTTAGAGCCAGAGCCAGAAGCCTGCTGAGTCCTCTCAGTCGACGCTAGTGCGCCCAGCTGGGCGCGCAACAACGCGGACTTTGGGTCTGCAGGAGTACGGGCGGCGACGACCGGCACTACACGTGGCCCACTGGCCGATGGGACGTCGACAGCAGGGGGGGCCTCTTGAACAGCCCTGTGGCCGGCTAGGAGCCTGAGCTGCTCCTTGAGCGCGTCCGCAACTGCCGCCCCTTTTCCCGCGCGGCCAACCTTGTAGGAAGACGGTACGTCGGCATGGCGCGGGACGTCGGTAGGTCGCCCGGCAGACGGTCCGGTCGGATGGCGTGCACCCGCGGGAGACTGGTGAGGAACCGCTGACGCCTCCGCAACCCCTGTCTTCGGGCCCTGGCCAGCTTTCGCGGACCCGCCTGGGGCCGTTTTGGCGGCGGCCTTCTCCTTGTTGCGCAGGCCTTTCACACCGCTACCCTGTCGTGGTGGCTTAACGCCGACCGAAGGCGGAGCCATTGGCAGTGCGTCATCAGTGGCATGCTCGTCGGCGGGACCCCCACCACCATGGCCCGTGCTGGCCGCTCCAACCTGAGCCCAGTGCTTCCTGAGGATGTCGACCACGCTCTTCCCCGACTGCTTCAACGAACTGCCGTCGCCGGCTCCCATGCTCCCATCGCCGGCGACGCGAGAACCAGCCGCTCCCTTGGTCCGCCTCGCGCCCGCCGAATCGTCTCCGTCCCCCCCCCCTGCCGCCAGACCCCCCGCCTCCCTTGCTCCGCTTCGTGTTCGCCGAATTGTCCCCGTCGCCCCCCCCGCCGCCTCCCCGCCTCTTGTGACCCAGCTTCAAGCCCTCCGTAGGTTGCGCTTGGCCGGCGTCGTTTGCCGACGGCGACGACCCACGCCGAGCATACGCCACCGTGCCGACGACCTCGGCCATTATCTTCAGTCCGGAGGCGAGGAAGGACTGCTGCGTGGTCTCCGTCACCGCCTTCAGCACGTCCTCCTTGAAAGACTTCAGGAAATCTTCCGGCAAGGCCTGCGCTGGGCCGGTAGGCGGCGGCGGCTGGACTAGGCGGGGCGCGACGGCGGCGGCAATGTTGGTCTGCGCGGCGCCGATGTATTTGATGAACGACTCCTCCAACCCCTTCCTCGCCTCGCCCACCTCCGCCGTCACGTGCTCGGTCACTGTCTTCACCGCGGTCGCGCGTGCGACCGCCGCTCGTCCCTTGGGGTCGTCAAGATCCAGCAGCGTCTGCCTCGCTAGCTCGGCGAAGGACTTGGCCGATTGAATGGCGCTGTCCATGTTGTCGGTGAGGCCCTCGGTGATTGTGGTCGCCATGGTCGACGTGGCCTCTTTGAGGCGCTCCTCCGATTTCCGGTCGGTGTCGGCGACCTGGGCGGTCAAACCCTTCACCTTCTCGAGGAGCCCAGCTAATGCCGCCGCCAAGCTGTCGACCCGCCCCGTCTGCTCACCGAGCCGCCGTTCAAGGAGTGCATTGTCTGCACGCAATCGCCTGTTCTCCGCCCTCAGCTGATCGACGACGTCCAGCCGCGCCTGCCGCCCAGCCGCGGTGGAACCGGGATGACCGCTCGCCGCCTTCTTCCTCCTAGACCGCTCCCCGCCGGCCTTCTCCGCGGTGGCATCGGTATGCACATCCACGCCCCTCTGCTCCGGGACCGCGGCGTTATCCCCTTCACCGACCTCGACCATGCCACCACCTCCGTGAGCCGCCTCCACGCCGACCTCGCCGATATTCGCTGTCGCACCCTTCCCCTCCCCTTTGTCGTTCTCGACATCCGCCGATCTCCCACCCGTTTCCTCCGCTCCTCCGACAACGTACCCCTCCGCTCCTCCGACAACGTACCCCTCCGCCATTTCCACGTCCTCCACCTCTACCAACTGCTCCTCCTGGTGCTGCCTCTCGTGCTCCTGCGTCTCCTGCTCCTCTCCTCCTCCGACTCCGACTCCGAGCCCGATCCCGACCCCGACATCGACCCCGACGACTCCTCCGAGCCCCCCTCACCCCCACGTTCCTCCTCGCGATCCTGGACCCCATCATCATCCCCGTGAACAACCTCGGTCCCGGTCACCCCCTTTCCTGCGGCCGCATCGGCCTCGTCGACGCCGACTCCCGACTTGCCACGCGCATCAGCGACGTTCGGGGCGACCCCTACTGGTACGGATGCAGAATGGACTTCCTCGCCGTCGTCGTCACAGGCGTCGGCAGCAACAACGGTTTTCCGCGACCGTATGAGCGGGACTTGCTTCTTGATGAGGGCTACCATCTCGTTCCGCAGCGCCTTCAACCCCGAGACGGTGGGCTTGTCCATGCTGGTGGCAATGCGACGGAGGTCGCCGGTCAGGCGCTGGAACCGCCTCACAACCCAGATCAACGCGCTCATTGCTAGCAGGCCGGAGCCCGCGTCCGAGTCCCGGACGGTATCGGGAATTTTCTGCATACAACAGTGCAGAGAGCAAGGATGAGGGCGGCGTAGATGTGACACCATATGACGGCGAATCGTCCGGAACTCACATCTCGAAGGGGTTCGTCGCAGTCGGCGAGCCTCTCCTGCACCTCGTCTTCGGACGGCTTCGCCCACTCCCATTTCCTACCCTCGCGCCGCAGCTCGGCCAGAACAGCGGTCCGGAAAAACCTGCAAAAACACGGCAAGGACGGTCGGTTAGCACGGTGCACGCGTCGTGTCGACAATGTATGCGATGTCGACTAAACTATCGAGCTCACTTCAGCACGCGGATCGCCTCGTCGCGGTGCCACTCCTTCACTGTCTGCGGGTCGGCGTGCCGGATCGAGGTCCTGACCTCCTGCCCCGAGGCATTGAACAAA